TGTAAATTGTAAGTGTGTGTAAATTAAATTTAATTTGTTTATAATATTCATGGCTTAATGTTAATAGAAAACACTATTCATTTTTTATTGCTCTGTTCACATGCAATGGACAATAATAACTATGCCTGCTCATGTACACATCCATTCTCAAGATTTAATTTGAAAATAGCACATCGATCGTAATATACCCTTCGGTCGTTTAGTGTTTGGGATTCACAAATCAATCACTTAACTATCCCAAAATTTTTAAAAGCAATCTATCTTCAGAGTGTTAAGTGCTGCTATACATTTTTTTTTTTTTTTTTCCTGTGTATGACATCCGTGTTCAACTTTCTTAATAGGATAACCAAATTTTTAATTTGTCATTTTAGTTTTTATTTAAACTTCACCTTCTTTACACCTAAGCCGCATACAATTCAACCACAAAATCTTTAAAATCAGAATATCTTTAAAATTCACAACAGAGTGCTAATTGTTGGTATCGATATTGTGACGAATTTTGTACATATACGGGTAACTTTAGTGAATTTACACGTGATTTTTTTTTCCCTGTATAATTTAACACAAAAGGGACTTTGTTAAAATTATTTAAAAGTAGGAACGAAGTGACTTTTTTCTCCTGTGCACAATGTAAAAAGAGAGGTTGCCATAAATTAAGAAATTCGCCAAGTAAATTATTCTTGGCGCAAACTGAAAACAATAGGCCAAAATAAATTTTTGAATTTCTCCGTAAATTTCGCACCAAATTTTACAAAATTTAATATTTAGTCATAATTTGAGTCGTAGAATTGAAATACGGAAAAGGCTAATCTTTAGAATATGGTAACAGGTAGTTTGGCGACATTTTAGTAAGGCGATGAAGGTTACTAGCTAGGACTTTAGCAATAATCTGAGAAGTACACAATTCGAATCACAGATTATTTTGTCTCAGAGAAATGAGAGATCATGAGACATGTAATGTGATATTTTCAGGAAAATTCCTATCGTGATTTTAGCTAATAAGCACTTAGAAACAATTTCGCTGCTAAAGTGCAGAATCGCCCACTTATTTGTTTGGCGCTTTTTACAAGAGTAAGAAGAATTGGATTTTTGTCAATTTTCTTTGACTTTTTAAGTGAAAATAGGTCGATGTGTACATGGATAAAGTCAAAGGAGTGCGCAATGCCATTTTTGTGCAATTCTGGAATGTTTTGTTTAAATGAAAATGGGTCGATGTGTACATGGATACCGAGAATGTGCAATTCTTAAAAACACGAGATGCAGTGGGTGATTCTGCACTTTCCCCACATAAAAATCTAGAAGGAGGATGCTCTGCTGGAAAAATAATGCAGGGGCAAGTCTTTTAATACTCAGTAAATGGCTATTTCGCTAATATGGCGAGAAATCGCCAAAAGTCGCCAATCTTGACGTCTATTTGGCTACATTTTGGTCCCGTCCCTTATCACCGTAATGTGTATTGTAATTGATTTCTGTAACTGTATTGCCTTCCAGTAATTTCAAGAAGTAGAAAGTACTAGAAATATCTCGGCGGTCGGTGAAAACTATATAACGCCGGAGAGAGCATCTGCCCTTAGTTGTAGTTGTTGTTATGAGCTGTTAATTCAGATCGACTTCGGAGTGTTGAAAGTTTTGCCTTTTAGATGCGCTTTGCTTGTGTTGTGTTTAACGTTTTTAGTAGTTTGAAGTGTAACTTCTAATTGTACTCTGTGATACTGTGAACAGCTGTACGAGTATTTCAGTGGAATGTCCCAGAACTCTGAAATGTTTCTTTTGATAAAAATAAATTTTATCAATCTATTATCGGAGCCCTGCGCATTCAATCTATTACGAACCCATCCGGACGCAACAATATTTTTATATTCGCTATGTTTTACATATTTTGTTAGGTGGCAACATCCTTTAGTTTGAAAAGTGATTCGACACAAAATTGAAACGAACACAAAATTGAGCGTCCAGGCTAATACATTTACGTGCGTTATTACAAGAGCTCGTCTTCATAATGAGCTTATTCTAGTTGGATTTAGCATAAGAATTCCAAGAATGCATTCAATGCTTCTAAACATAAGCTCTCGATCACATAACTAGCTTAAATAGCATTTTCGAGAAGTTTTGGATTATGACATAAGATATGTTTTTTTACGAAAGTCTGTTTGTTCACAGTTTCAAATAAAATATGACTTTCGGTTCATCAATTTTAGACCAAATCTAATATATTGTTCCAATTTATATAAACATTTAAATTTAAAATACTAAAATTGGAAAGTTTTGGATTATATTTTAATGTACTTTTGCATTGAAAACTTATCGGCCTCAAGAAAAGTACCACTTCCAGTTGTCCATTAAAGACTATTACGGATTTCCTGTAAAGTTTCACTTCTGGTTCTGAAATTTTATACAAAACCTAACCAACTCTTTACATGGTCGTGAAAAGCTGAAATATGGAAAACCGAAATTTTTGGAAGTTTCATATAAGAGTTACCGTGGACAGAAAAATCGCCACACACATACATACATACAAACACTGTAAAACTTGTAAAAACGGGTTTGGGGCATCCTATTTCGTGCTTATTCATTGAAAACTAAATATCGAATTTTTGGATCGAATATATATATATATATATTACTTCCCTTACATAAGCTGGCGTGAGGTAAAAGGGAGGAATACACACGAGGTAATTACGGTATTTCTTAAAATATTATAGTAAAATGTTACAGCCATTTGAACACAATGCCTGCAGTATTATGTAATTTTACAGTTATTCATTGTACACATTCGTCTGCGAGTAAAGAATTGAAGGAAATAAGGGAATGCGACCCATTTTATAAAAAAGTGACAACGTTTCCTTTCCTAAATTTGAATTCTATTCGATATACATGACATTAAAAATATTAATGATACAGAATTCAAGAAATTTTAATGAATCATACCGGATAAACTGTTGACTGCAGGTACTTCGAATTCCATTATAATTTTCCGTTTTTATTAAAATTACGGCAAAAAGCAAGCGTACTCCCTAACTGTGCGTCAAAAGAGAAAACTACATTGTAAGTATCAGGCAAGTTCTATCTTATGCAGACAAAGTTATCAAAATCGAAAGGGAATCATGTTTTGAAAAACTGCGAAATGTACTTCGTCATAAAATGAAATGTATCGTCAGGCAAAAACATCCAATCCCAAATATCACATGGCTCAAGGCTTAAAAATTAGAGAAAGTTGTTTAGAAATATTGGAAGACGTTGCACTCGGATGGTTCGAACAGATGGAATTATTTGATTTGACTTCAGGAAAAGGAAATTTTCTTGTGACTTTTGGTCCTAAAAATAAGTAACAATTTTAATAACGATAAATGTATTTACAGTCTTCCTAAATACAATGCATTAGTCATTAAAGACAATTATGCTTGCAGAGAATAAAACATGCATCTGAATCGTTGATTCAGACAGAAATTCTTCATCATTTCATTTTTCTTCTCATTCTCATTAGTTAATAACAAACAGTAAGCATTATCGATATTATTTAACTACTCAAATTTCCAAACCCATCCAAATTTAGACATTATTTAATTTTTTTTAGCTTAATTGTTAAGCAGCATTTTCTTCGCCCTTACGCCGTATGCAATTCAACAGCAACATCACAAAAATTTTAAAAGCAGCAAAGCAGGATACTGTTGGCATACTTTTTTTTTTTTTTTTTTGTCTTTTCTCACTTTTCTCAGTTCATCATATCAATGTTCAGTTTTCTTACTACGATAACTTTACACTTTTTTAGTCCAAAAGGGCTTTGTCCCTGAGGGACTATCGTTTTCGTTTTGGCATTTTGCGTTGAAATCTTTAAAAGGCGGTATCACTTTTCAAACTGTTGCCCCCCCCAAATTATCGCCCTGTAATATATATCAAGAAATTAAATAATGAAAAATCTGCATAAACGTATGTTTGTTTCTGTCATTGTGATAAAACAACGGTACCTAGAGCCATCAAACTTTGAATAACGTAATCTTTCATAGAATATGGGCATGCGGAAGCCCTAATTTGAATTTGAAATTCGTTTTATTATCGATTTCATATTTTGTAAACCTTTAACGAATTTTTGATTAACAAACTCAAAGATTGCAATGGCAACACTGTACGGAAAAAAAATCTTTTTATCCCCGGAGCGAGAGTGTGTATATCAGAAATTTTAGATATGCTTATTTTCAAATTATTTTGCAATACTGCTGTTGAATTCAATTTTATGGTTTGAGTACGTAGAATATGATATTTAATAAATAAAGGTAACACACAAAACGTTAAAAGAACGCCCCTTTGGACGTAATTTAAAATCTGAGACATTTCAGATTTTTTTCTTCTTTTTATATTATTTAATTAATAATTTTCATTTAATTAAATTTTATTAGTCATTTTTTGTTGTATTTTTTTAATGGCCATTTTAAGCTTTGGCCATTACTCTAACGCCAGAATCGGTGTGCATTTTTATTATGTAGGCACTTTATAGGCGGCCGCCGTTCCCTCCTATGAAGGATTGGACAATTTACATCCATGCCTTCTCCGGGATTCGAACCCAGGCCCTTCGAATCGGCAGTCAAAGTCACTAACCACTTTCCCGGAGCGGTATTTTTATAAAATTAAAAATGGAAAAACTGTTCTTTTAGATGTATGATTTCAAAACTGGTATAAATGTTTATTTTTTTTATGTAATATGCGTAATGCTATGATTTATTATAACGATAAATGCAAAAGTGTTCCTTAAAAATTTCAGAATTCGAAAAAGGTTTCGCGATTAGAAAAGTTTAGGAAATACTACTTTACGATGTTAAAAAGAAAATAATAAAAGCAATTAAAAAAAAACTTTAAAATTTTTCCCACAAATACAATGTTTCAAAGAAATTAATTCTTTCAGACGGATCAGATTCTTTTTCATAGTTGATCAACGCCAATCAGCTTAAAATATGAGTAAATACAAAACGCGCACACTAAAATATATTAAGATAAAAAAGAATTACCTTCTACAGACGTTTTTTCAAATCCATTTTCAGACCGTTTACCGTTGCCTTAGAATGTTGTTTTCAAACTGTCTTCTTCAACTATCTTCAAAATGTCCATCACGAGATAACCATTTTAGGCATCCTTTAAGAATTCCTAAATAAAAGTTTCCATTTTTAATATGACAGACGATACTGGCGAAAAGCAAATATTTAACAAAATGTTTAAAAGTAATAACGTGCGGTCAAACTCTCATTTGAAAATTATTGTTGATTCGACGTCAACGTTAAATTTAAGGAATTATCTTAATGCAATTTTAAACAAGTATATATAATATATGTATATATAATATAAGTGCTAAAATTCTTGTTTGTACGTGACATTTTTCCAACTAATATCTTACATTTTTGTTGTATTTATGCTTAAAACAGAAGTTTTTTTACGTCAACTAGATTCAACGAGCTGTTTAGAAAATTTTTGAAAAAAAAAAAAAAAAAAAAAAAAAAAAATCTGAAATGTTTCAGATTTTAAATTACGTTCAAAGGGGCGTTTTTTAACATTTTGTGTGTTACCTTTATTTATTAAATATCATGTTCTTTGCACTTAAACCATAAAATTCAGTTCAAGAGCAATATCGCAAAATAATCTTAAATTAAGCATATCTTTAGAATTTCCGATATACACAGTCTCGCGAGCTGGAGATAAAAGTATTTTTTTTCTATATAACGTTGCCATTTCTCGCTTTTAAAGCATTGAGTTTGTAAATCAAAAATTCGTTAGTTTTTTAAAACAAAATTTGTTAAAAATCTATAAATAATCCACTAAAAATTCCAAATTTGGGATTTCAGATGCCATATTCGCAGTAGGATTTCGTCATTCAAAATTCGATGGCTCTATGTACCATTGTTTTATCACAATGCGAGAAATAGACAATCATTTATGCAGATTTTTCATTATTTAATTTCTTCAAATATAATGCAGGACTCTAACATTTTGTGGCAACAGTTTGAAAAGTGAACCCACGTTTATAGGAGTCCGACGCAAAATCGCAAAACGAAAACAATAGTCCTTCAGGGACAAAGCCCCTTTGGACTAATAATAATAAAAAAAAAAAAAAAAAAAAAAAAATCAGGGGGGGGGAGTCTAAAATTTATTTTACAGAGAAAACTGACACATCTGAATGCTTTGAACAGTTACACAGGAGGAAATACCTACCAGAGGAAATGGAAAATTTACACAAAGAAGGTTAATTTTAACACATATTTTACAGCAGTATTTTTGCTTTTGCTGAAGACTAATTCGAAAGAATGTGCTTCATAGCATTTACCATCCTCAAACTGAACGCGAAATATGCCAGTATAAATCAGGGCAAAAGCCAGCGTTCGTTCGACGCAGATTTTGAGAAAAACTCTATCGATTTCGACGGCGATCAGAGCAAGTCACCCCCCCTTCCCTCATGGACCTCAGAGAGAGAAAGACAAAGGGAATAAAATTCCACCCCCAGCAGCTGCTTTGTGCTTCTTTTGGGTACACTCCCACGAAGTATAAAAAGAACTCTTACTTTTCTTTCTTTATTAGCAGATCCTCCAGACAGAATCTCCAGAGATTATTGGTTTCGTTTTTTTACATCCTCTACGTTTTTTAACTTCCGTCCTACAATTTACTGTACCAACCATTGTACGAAACACATTATTACTGTTCGTTTACCATCTATCTCCAGTTTTTATACACTAGGATAAGATCTAATTTTTTCCCAGATGTCCAATTTCATTATACACTGAGCTCATTTTGCATTTTTCTCTTCAGAGAAAGGAAAGCTAATGGGCCTTCTCCAGGAATTCGAGGTTTGGATGAATGAACTTGAAATGTAAAATGCAAATCTGAGAAACCAGAAAATGGTCATTCTTGAGCAGTTGAGAATTATGGCAGTGTATCAAGATCGTATAAAAAATCCGGGATGACAGAATATATGAGAGAGAGGAAGAAACGCGCGATTAAATACGGTTATGGAATTTATACGAGTTGATCCAAAAGTAGTGCACATCAAACTTTTCCAAAATTGTGGCAGTTTTAGACGGGGTATTGATGGCAATTTTTTTTCAACGGAAGATAACCCTACACTGTTTCAAGTAACATATCACTTGAAATTCCAGTTGCAATTTGTGAAATTTAATTGCTAAATTATGAATTAACCCATTACTTTTTTTACCATAACTTTCTCGTTTGTATACAAAAATTGTACAATTTAATATTTAAACATTATCAGCCCAAAAGGGGAGTTAGCCCAAATGGGCTACCAATCTCGAAACGGAATTTTGCGTTGAATCACTATAAACGGCGTATCACTTTTCAAATTGTTGCCACCAAATATTATCGCCTTGTATTATTTTTAAAGATATTAAGTAATGAAGAATCTGCATGAATGTATGCATGTTTCTTGCACTGTAAAAAAAAAAAAAAAAAACGACGGTACCTAGAGCCAAGAAATTTTCAATAACGTAATCCTCTACCAGAATAAGTGCACCTGGAAGAACGAATTTAAAATTCCCAGTTTGTTTTTATTATACCTGTTTCATTCATATTTTGTAAAACTTCAATGATTTTTTTATCAACAAACACAATGATTTCAAGGCGAGCAGTGGCAACAATGTACGGATGTACGGAATAATAAAACATTTTTATCTCCAGCGCGCGAGACTGCCTATCGAAAATTCTAAAGATACGCTGTTTTTAAATATCTGGTGATTTTGCTGCTGGATTGAATTTTAAGTGGCGTAAGTTCAAAAATCGTGATATAATAAATAAAGTTAACACACAAAACGTTAATAATAAAAAGAGAAAAAACATTTTTAAAGCCATGTTACAAAAAGCTGAACATTGATATGATAAACGGAGAAAAGAGTGAAAAAAATATAAAAAATGTATGGCAACACTTACCAATGAATCGGGAATTAAATAAAAATAAATTAAATAAAAATTTTGTGATTTTGCTATTGAACTGTATATGGCATAAGTGTGAGAAAATGATGCTTAATAACGAAGGTAAAAAGGCAAAACAAACGGGTTAGCAAAAGTGCAACAGTAGACTAAGTACACTGTGAGCTCAGCGAGAGCATAAAAAACTTTAAGAAACTTCTTTTGGGCGACCGTTAAAATCTGAAAGCTTTCAGATCCATCCCCCTTTTTTTTGGGGGGGGGATTGTTTGAAAGAATCAGCAATGCATGTTTTTTTTATTTTTATTTTTTAATTAAAAGTTTTTTTTGACTTTGTTCAGACCTAAAATACAGCACATGTAAAAAAAAATACATTTTAATTTAAATATTTAATTAAGTTTAAAAGGTATTTCTCTCGCTTTCCTAGCGTGCCTTCGTGGTACAGTAGTTCTGCACGCTGGGCCGGTATTCCAGAGGCCCGTAGTTCGATTCCTGGCGAAGGCGTTTGCTATTTTTCATCTTTTCTGCTCCCAAAAATATATCTAATGCCTCTACAGTGGTGCCCGAACTAAAAGGGCGTTGGATGAGGATTCTCCACACCCAGGATTTGACGATTGGGTCCCCTAAAATCCCCAGTCGCCCTTTAAAAAGGGGGAATATATAAGGTATTTCTCCCGCTTTCCTAGCGTGTCTTCGTAGTGTAGTGGTTCTGCATGCTGGGCAGGTATTCCAGAGGTCCGTGGTTCGATTCCCGGCGAAGGAGTTTGCTAATTTTTCATCCTGCCTGCTTCAAAAAATATCCTTATGTCTCTACAAGTTCTTAAAAAATGTTCGAAAGCTTACAGTGGCTCAGGACATTTTTGGCTCACTTTATGCTCAATTTTGTTTGCACCACACACTCTATAGACTTTCATGCTGTCTGAATTAGCACTTTTAGTTTTCGTTTGCAATTCCTCTTACTACTTTATAATGCCCAATAAGTAATCGTGCCCTGACGATTTTGCTCACGAGGTCTAATTTTTCGTCTGTTTCGTTGTTTGATAAGTCTTCTATAACACTATTCATTTTCAGCCTTTAATTTTAAATAAGATACGTAACGTTGATTCTTTTATTTAGAGATTCAGAGAAAAATGAATTTGAACATTTAAAGAATAATAATTTATAGTTCTTAATAAATACTACTGAAATATTGCGAAAAGCAATAGTCTGTCCATGAAATTTATGGAAATTGTATAATAATCTAAGATAGGGGGGAAAAGAATTGCAAAAATGAGTATTTTAATAATAGAACATAATTAAGTAGTAAGTTTTTTTAATGTTTAAATAATGGATACAGTATTGGACATTGAAAATGCTTACAAACCCTCACAAATCTGTCATTTAGCCTAACTTCAGTATAATAGCAAGGAAAGAACAAGATGTTTATAATTAAAGAACCTTATTTGAAAGCTGCTTACAATCGAAACCACTTATTAGAAAATTGCGAAATTTTGTGGCGGACTTAATGAAGGGATGGAAATGTTTTTCGGTGAAAAAAAAAAAAAAATAGTTGCAAATAGCGTCATTACAAGGCATTATATTAATAAATTATACATTTAGCCACACCTTTACAATAGTTTTACAAATTCGCTACAAAAAAAAAAAAAAAAAAAAAAAAAAAAAATGTTCCACAGGATTGCCATCATTTTCAGCTACCATCTCGTATCGCAAGATGGCATGTTCTACAGTTGACCGAAGGGTATGCAGGGAAATGTTCAGCACGTGACGTGAAATGCTGGCTTTATGATGAGGTAAAGTTCTTGGATTGCCACGACATACCAGGTGTTTCAAATGTCCCCGAAGCTAAAAATCACATGTACTGAGCTATGGGGATCGGGAAGGCCACATATTACGAAAGTGCCGGCTGTTTGGGCAAAACAATTTTACTAACAAAGAGTGATCTCGTAAACTTATCGTCACTGAGAGCAACAAGCACATTGTAAACAAAGTCTCAGCGAATGTTTCTAGTAGGTTTTATAAAAATTCTTGCTTGACATCGAGAAAGATTTACATTTTTACTACAGGTTTTTCAAAGTAAAACGCCCTCTGGTGACGCCTTTTGTAACCTTTTTTTTTTCCTCTCTCTCTGAAAGACATTCTCATCCCTTCATTAAGTCCGCTACCAAATTTCTCAATTTTCTGATCACTGGTTTCGCTTGTAGGCAGCTTTGAAATAAGATTCTTTAATTAT